ATCATTTTTTGATGAAGAAACTTTTGCCTTTGTAAAAGGAATTCTGTGTTGATTAGCCTTGTATGCTTTTTTTTTCCAAGTGACTTCTATTACACATGTATTGTAGATTATATTTTTATCAGAGAATTCGGAGGTAATATTTAGTAGCCTAACTCCAGTGGGTATTGATATTTTGGATTATAAATTATTTTTTTAAAAACAAATTGTTTTTTTTTAAATGTGATAAACATGTTTTAAATGTCTTTTTCAATAAATTTCAGTCCATTAATATACCATGTTTTTCAGGGGCATTGATTCAATCTATTATTACATTAATTACATAGAAAACCCCCCTTTAAAAAAAAAAACTCTTATATATTTGTATGATCTTGGGAAATCTTGGGAAATTTGTTCACCACATCTTGGGAAATTTGAAAAAAGTGAGTGGCAGCCCTGGTCACGTGACGGTTATGACGGATACTTCCTGTTGGTTTGCCATATTAGAGCCATGACTATCAATCGAGAGATGAGCCATATTTTGAAGACCTTCATGAACCGGTAGCTTTGAACAAACACGAAGAACAATTTGACGCGTAAAGCTAAAAGCAAGTAAGAATACGTTTATGTTTATAATTTTATTGTATTTTTAAATTCTATTTTAAATATAGTTCTATAGGTAATCTACCACTTGAGCGTCGGCCCCCCCCCAAAAAAAATCCAGCACCCACGTCCACGTCTTTTCAATTTTGCTCTAATATTTAAGCCACATTCTTTGTGCACTGTAAAATAGCACTTTTTAAACAATCTAATCGATTTTTGAAACCTTATACTTATACAAGAAGACATACCTCATTAACTTCACTTGACTCTATCAAAACAATATTTAATTGATATAGCATAGATGCTGCACAAAACCAACTGCCACTTTAATAACAGAGTACCAAGTAGTAGGTACTTGGACTTGGGTAAAATTTTCAAAATGAATTTATAGCTTTAAGAGCTAGTTGGTTAGATAAGGCCTGAAAAATGCAATTCATTAATACTAAATTTATGTTTGTAGGTCAATTCTAAAGAAAGTTATGATTTTTTTCGTGAATTATTTTGGGATAACTCTGTTAATTGAGACATATAGGAAAATATAAAAGTGACTAAAATAAAAATTGGGCAGAGAGTTAGAGATATTAAAAAAGAGCAGTAAATTGAAGTTATTTAATGAAGAAAACCATAACAAACCATATATATCCGTGATCATCGTAACATTATCCAAACAGTAGTAGGTTGGAGAACTAGTGAAAAATACCAACTTAATTATAAATGGCTTGCATTAAGTCCATTAATTTTTTTAACACTTCAGGTTGCAGCAGGACACAGTCTGGGAGCCTCTGTCCTAGTCAATTACATGCCATAATAAACACATATCTTTACATTTTCTCTTAACACCTAGCAATCATCCTAATCCCCCTTCCAATAATAAATATTAGTATCTTGATCCTTTGAATGCACTTTATATAAAGATAAATCCCGCAAGTGCATGTAAAAAATATCAAAAGACTGTATTGGAATGGCTAGTTTCACTGATTAGGTTAGGGTAAAGTCTTGCACATTCCTAATTTAGTTAAAATTAGATAAAAATTCCTAAAAAATCTAAATTTCCTTCTGACATCACATATTGAGTGCATTTTTGCTGTAAAAGAAATGATTAAAAAATTCAAAAGAGCTATTTAGATGGATTGCTTCTTATATTTAGATTCATCAGTCGCTATAGCATACATTTTTTTGGTTAAAATCATAGTAGTAATAATCAAGAGTTACATCTTGCAGGTTAGAATTATATTACCATTGATCTGTGACAAAAAATCTTATTTAAATTTTTAAAGATTCACTACTGTAATGCAGTTGTAGTTAAAATCTTGCACTGAGCTTGACGTGACCATTTTGAAGGTTTTCTTTTGTTCATTTAACACCACCTCCCTAATTCCAATAGTGTTTGGACTTTAACTATTTAATAGATTAAATAAACAAAGCTATTCAACTTTCCCTTAGAGAACCAGGAATTTTTTGTCGAAACACCCATGCAAACATGGCTGGTGTAAAAGCAATGATTACACCAAGTGTGTGATTAATTTTTTTGGTACTTTTTATGATGGTAACTTTCAGGTTAAAATTGTTCATAGGATATTGTCTTCATATTAATGCAAGCTTGCGCTCTAATATAATAAAGTTTCTGTCTTCTACTAATTAATGTATTATTTTACTTCCAGGTTAAAGTTGTTGTTTTCACAGAGATCACTTGAAGACCCCCATCACTGCCAGAATTCACAGCTGCTCTTATGATGAATGTGCAGGAGGAATCATGACATGCCAGGACAATGACTGGTCAACATTTTACTTCAGGTAAATCCAGTCCTTTTTATTCTATTTATTTTTCATTACCTATGCCACTAATTTAAAAAAAAAAATTTTTGGTTTTATTTTTTCACATTTTAACTTGATGCTTGATTTATCACACTGGGTAATAATCTTGAGGTAACTTGCCATTATTGGGATCTTGGAAATTTATTCCCAATGGATCATAAGCCAACCACAATCTTAGTTTTGGCCAGGAAAACCCTGAAAAGTGTGTAATCTGCTTATTAGTGTACTCTTTCAGTTTTGGCTGGGAAATTATTTTAAAGGTTTTCATCGAAACCTTAAAAATAATTGCTTATTAAAAAGACTTAAAACTATTAAACATTCAGTATTATGTATAACAGCGACTCACTTCACTTTTCTACATATATATACCGTAACCACACTGAACAGAATCAGTCATATGCTCACACACAGACACAATCTTATTGTTTTCTATAATAGAATCAATGTACCTGGTGAAAACCTCCTGTGACCGACTCAAAGGCCCACTTATACCATTGAAATATTTTTTGTGTAAATAGGCCTTTGAATAGGGATCTACAGTACATGCTGAATTTTGATTTATAGCCATGTCTAGACTTAATTATGTGTTGATCATTCTTAAACATCATCCAAAAATTCAAATTAAATAATTATAATAATAAGTATGCCGCTAAATGGGAGAAATAGAGATAGATAAACAGATCAATTTGTTAATGCTGATCATTAGTAGTGCCCTGGCCTGTTTCACCACATCCTTCCATTCAGACATCATCATCATAGGTGCTACAGTCCATCATAGGGGCCTGGTCTGCTCTACAACATCCTCCCTTTTAAGCTGATCCATGACTTTACACTTCCAGGTGATTTTAGTCCTTTACAACTCAATCCATATCAGTCATGGTCGACGGATGAGCCGTTAACCCCTAGGCTTCTGTCTGTAGATCACTTTTGCTGCTCTACAATCTAATATCCTCTCAAGGTTTCTTGCCCAAAGCAGCCTGAACATTTAAATTGCAGCAACTACGGGTGGTTCCGGTACTGAAAATGTTCATTAGGAAATTGCATCAGCGGGCTGTCGAGCTAGTACATTAGCTCTTTATGCCCTCCCCAAAGCACACACACCCTCACTCCCCAAGCCTGAGTTATCGGGCTGGGTAGCGGAACGTTGGAGATTTCCCTTTGCCNTAGGAAATTGCATCAGCGGGCTGTCGAGCTAGTACATTAGCTCTTTATGCCCTCCCCAAAGCACACACACCCTCACTCCCCAAGCCTGAGTTATCGGGCTGGGTA